TTAACAACAAAATGCCTAGAAAAAGCGCTTGCATTACCACGTTTAACAGACTAACCCAATATTCACGCCGGCAATTTACTTTCAAAAACATCTCATGCATATATAACTTGTATGCGACCAACCGAAATTGAACGGCGTGCGTAAAAAGCTAACTCTATTTCCAATTTTTGTTCTGCGTGACATTTTGATTTGACGTTTCGCTCAGTGAAATCATATGCAAATGCACGTAGGCCAATTTCGGGGGACGCAGAAAAAAAACTTATACGGCGTGCGTTTATATTAGGTTAGGCTGTAACAGCAATTTTCTGTAAACCTAGTTAGAACTGTTATTTGTAAAAACTTACAATTTAATTATAAATTTTTAGCGAAAAACGATAAACAGAATGAGTTAAAGTCAGCATACAAATCGAGTTTATTTTATACATTAGTACGTGCATATACATATATGTAAGTAATACACTGTAAAGTAATACAATTAAATCATATACTACTTCACAATATCTTTTAGATAATAAAAAAACTTCACTTTTTTATATAACTACACAATAACATACATTTTAAAGTATACTAGCGTATACATATACATATGTACATATCGCCGATTTCTTTGCAAAACCGCCCATCGCCATGCATCGGCCAATGGCAAAAGCGCCTATCTTACGGCACTCAAACGGGGCGCGAAAAAACTGGGATTTTTTTTTAACGGCGTTCATTTAACTGTCATTTTACCAACTTTTTGAATAACGTTTTTACGATTTTAATGCATAAAGTTCGGTGCGTGGAGTTCAGGTTTACCAAGTCTCATTTGTGCGATTTACATCCATAGCTAAATAAAAGCGTTGTGCGTAGCGTTTTCTGACACCTAGCGTTAACGCCAAAGTGTTACACCTAAACAAAAGCGGCAACTCTACGTGAAATGTAGAAACAGCAACAGTGGATTACGAAAAAAACAGTTTCGCCATATCCTACAGCGAATTGCACTTTCCAATGCTTTGTCAAAATCGGATCTTCCGACCACCCATCGTTTCCGCCACGTTATTTTGGTATGCTTCATACAAATTGTATAGGCATGAGCAATTTTTGACATCTAGACAATGCTGATGCTTTTATATAGGTGTATGCATATCAGGCGGTTTTGCAACTGGTCGATGGGCGGTTTTACAAAGGCATCGGCGATACATTTTTTAGTAATAAGNAATACTTTCAAAGTGCATACATAATTACAACTACATAATTAATAATTTCATCATCGTGTACTAACTACTCATACATATTTTTAATAATTTTATTTATTATTTTCCAGGTGTAATTTTTCACATATTTATGCATGCCGTATGTATGTATGTATGTATGAATGTAGGTGTATCAGTCTAGTAGTCAAAAAGTGTTTAGCATATGGACTTGCTTGGCGGGTTCAATAACCGCGCAACCGTGGGAGAGACGACTGCATCTGAAAAGAGAAATAAAAAATTAAAACTAAATGAAGTAACTGCATGCAAGTTGATTGGACAACAAATGATTTTTGCGCAAATAGCAATTAAATTACAATTTTTTCTTTTAAATAATTATATACATACAAATTTCATCAAGGTATCTCATGGTTATGCAAAAATTTCATGAAAGCTTATTTGCCTACCACACGCGAATTTCCATAGTTGAGACCACCAGCTTGCAGCAACGACCGCCGAGAGGTTCGCCATTCATTTCCGCATGTTGGTTTTTCTTGTTGAAGATATGATGATGATATATGTACATATTCTAAAGGGGACTAGCAAGACTGACTGGCTGCTGCCAAAAAGTTTATGCAATTTCAAGTCAAGCCAATTATTTTTAAGAGTAAATGAGAGCTGCGCATGCGGATCAGCTTTTGCGATTTTTTGCTGCCTTTCTAAAACATCAGCCCCCATACATGTGGACACACTGAGCTGCACTTTGTTCATTGCTTATTTTTTATTTATTAATATTTCCTTTTTTCTCTGTTTAATTTCACTAAAGTTGGTCACTTGCTTGGACGCGCGGGCGCTCGCGCGCACTCGCTCTTCAGTCGAACTTCATTTTGTATTCATTTTTAATTAGTCTAATATGTTTTACAGTTAAATATGCTCCAATTACTCAATGCATACATTATTAATATTCGCAAAAGGAAAAAGAACGATGTGGAATCAACATCTTTAGCAGCTGCTTGCACGCTTTTGCTATGCTTCACGAGTCTGCATACATATGCTACGTTTGTATACCTAAATACGGGTACATATTTTAAATAAATCATGCGCCTCCATGTAAACTCACATGCACAGTTTTATTGGCTTGCCCACCAACCAACAAACAAACATCCAAGTAACTGATTCTGATATTTTATCCCTCTTCGTCTTTACCGACTCCATAGCTCTTCGTGTTCGTGCGCACCACAGCTCATCCACATGTAATCCTCTCATCTTCCCTCCATTCGCCCAGTGCCGGCTGTTGTCACGCAAATCACAATATGCCGCACTTCTTCAGCACAATTTTGCGTTTTCGCGCCGCCGCTGAGCTCTTTTTAGCCGCGCGCAACACAATTGTGCCACTATTGTTTTTCGTGAAAGTCGGACTAAAGGCACTGATTGTAGGCTGATGACCGCTGGAACCGCCATTCAAGCCGCCGCCACCACCACCACCACCACCACCATTGCCACCTGCATGCGCATTCGCCTGTTCGCTGCTTTCATTTAGCATCAGCTGATGACATTTTGTGGCCAAGTATCGGAAAACGGATGCCACATTCACATCTTCCTTAACGGAGGTGCGTATGAGTCGACAATTTAATTGACGCGCCAGTGTTTCCACCTCGTCTGCGCTCACTACCGATTGTTCGATAAGATCGATTTTATTCTGTACGATCACCGTTGGTATCTCATTGCATTCGTTTTCCACTTTGCGCTTCCAGTCTCGGATCGCCTCGAAAGATGCGCGATCTGTCGTGCTAAAGGTTAGTACACACGCCTGCGCGCCGCGATAATAGGCTTTGGTTATGGCGTCAAACTCTTCCTGGCCGGCAGTGTCCCACAACATGATGCGCACATCCTCGCCGTCGATTTCGATTTGTCGCTCCAGAAAATCGACGCCAATCGTCTTTTTGTAATCCTTGGTGAAGATGCCTTTGCAGTAGCGCTGGATCATCGAAGACTTGCCTACACCGCCATTGCCTACAATCACCACTTTAATGGCGATTTCGATGTCGTCCTCGCGCATTATGTCATAGGCGTTCGAGGGAGCCGTTGTTGTAGATTTTACTAAACCGAATAAAAAAAATTTGCTTGCCGCTTGCCGCTCGCTGGCAAACTTCACGCTGCAGCTATGTAAGTGAAAGACAGTGAAAAGTTGTCTCGCGGTGCTTCAGCGCATCGCTATTGCGAATGAGTAATTAATTTTACGAGTGAATGGATGGGTTATTTGCCTTTTGTAATTAACAACAATAGGTAACATTTAGCATTCAGGTTGGAGCGCTGACTTCGACTATGCAAATAAGAAGCGATTTGAAACGGTTATTTTTAGTGGCGTTCGTTTTAATTGTTTTCGGCTGTTGCTGAACATTCGGTAATACCTGTGAAATATAACACAATTTTTAATAACGCATATTTATAAGTTTTAAAACATTTACTAAAAACACTTATTTGTTAAAATTTCGTTTTAGTTAGCATCTTTGGTTTCATCAATGCTGTAGTAATAATTTATCATGTTGGTAACCGTTATTTTTTCCTTAATTCCATATAAATTTTTATAGCTTGTGGGCCAATATTTTTCATTCACTTTCTATTAAATGATTTCTCTGCACTTTCAACCTCGAGCAACAGCAACAACAACTAAGCAAATGCTTGCATGGAACTACATACATATATATGTATGTAAATCGAAAAATAATTAACCAATAAACTAAACAACTTGACTACCAACACGCAATGCCACTAAAGTTGTAAATCATCATCATCATCCACTGCAGCAGCAGCAGATGCAGCAAAAGTTTCCAACAGCACAGCGGTAAGCTGTAAGTCAACTTATCAGTTTCGCTTACTTGCTGAAAGTCTTCAAGCTCTGAATGCACATAATCACAATAATTAATGTTCAATAGACTACATTGCTAATGCCATTGGCCAACCGAGTTGGCGGTGGCGGTGCGGGCAACGAATTTTTCGATTACGATTTGGCAGCTACGCTCATGCAACCGGCGACAACCGGTTGGAGGTTGGTGTTTACAAGCGTTCAAGTTATGCGTTGCCGCAAGAAAAACGTAGCNATATTTGCCTTTTGTAATTAACAACAATAGGTAACATTTAGCATTCAGGTTGGAGCGCTGAGTTCGACTATGCAAATAACAAGCGATTTGAAACGGTTATTTCTAGTGGCGTTCGTTTTAATTGTTTTCGGCTGTTGCTGAACATTCGATAATACCTGTGAAATATAACACAATTTTTAATAACGCATATTTATAAGTTTTAAAACATTTACTAAAATCACTTATTTGTTAAAACTTCGTTTTAGTGCAGTGTTTTTGTTTCATCAACGCTGTAGTAATAATTTATCATGTTGGTAACCGTTATTTTTTCCTTAATTCCATACAAATTTGTATAGCTTGTGGGCCAATATTTTCCATTCACTTTCTATTAAATGATTTCTCTGCACTTTCAACCTCGAGCAACAGCAACAACAACTAAGCAAATGCTTGCATGGAACTACATACATACATACATATGCATGTAAATAGAAAAATAATTAACCAATAAACTAAACAACTTGACTACCAACACGCAATGCCACTAAAGTTGTAAATCATCATCATCACCATCCACTGCAGCAGCAGCAGATGCAGCAAAAGTTTCCAACAGCACAGCGGTAAGCTGTAAGTCAACTTATCATTAATGTTCAATAGACTACATTGCTAATGCATTGGCTAACCGAGTTGGCGGTGGCGGTGCGGGCAACGAATTTTCGATTACGATTTGGCAGCTACGCTCATGCAACCGGCGACAACCGGTTGGAGCTTGGTGTTTACAAGCGTTCAAGTTATGCGTTGCCGCAAGAAAAACGTAGCGTTATACCCAATGCATTAATGCAGTTGGGCAAGGGGGTAATCTGAAACACTATCTGCTCGTGAATGTTCCTCGCCGATAGACTTACGTCCCGACTCCCGAGCCAGATGTGAAAATATCCCAACCGGAGGATCTGCTCATTGGAGCCTCTTAATCTATGCGTACGATAAAGATACCAGACGTACTCCTTTGGAAAGTATCTTACTACATTTTTTACTTTTTTTTTACTTGATTTGTTCAAATAAACTAAGGTGAAAGGTATGAAATTTTAAGAAAAAGCAAAAAGCTTATGCTGGATTTTCACTAGGCGTTAAATGGCAAAAATGACAAAGTCGGGCATTAAAAAATATTCGTGTCATTATTTTAAAAACATAGTCATTAAATTCATTTCCACATGGCATTTTTTTAAATGGCATGCATTTTTTGTCATTTCAATGCCTAGTGGAAATTCGGCATTAGTTTTTATACATACGGCTCAATGTCTCACACTTCATACAAAGTTTAGAAAAATTCAATCACTTTTCATTAATATTTTGAAATTTTTAATATTAGAACATTCTTGGATATGCACTTTTATGGCTCATAAAACAAAGTGCAAGTCAGTGAAAGAAAAAAATATTAAAAATCAAAGCAGTTGAAACTTGCAATTTATTGTATTAAAATTTTATGAGTTATAAAACTGTATCTTGCTTTCTTTGAGTTTTAGACAAAGCGATGTTTGGCGGTTCGATGTACTAGAGATGTCAGTTTATACAAAACAAAAACATCGATATTTTCGATGCATCGATGTTTTTTCGACATCCCTAGTTTAGCCGGCCCCACCAACTTCGTCATAGAGAAAATCAACTGTATTAAGTTTCGGAATGCTGTTTTTGTTATGCTTGATGTTCATAGCCAAGTTAGAAAGTTGAAAACTTTAGTGTGAACAAGTTCAGCTAGAATTCTATTGTCCTTTATTGCTTAACAAACAAGTCTCGGCTACTCTCACGTAAGAGTATTCCAGTGATTCAATAACGAACTATACATCTATGTACATTAGGGTGGTCCAAAAACAGTAAAGTCGGAATTGTAACGCGTCACCGCCTAGGATTGTTCTATATCGAAAAAGTATACCCCAATTTTTTTATTTTGAAATCAAAAAATATTAAGAGGTCGCTCAAAGTGCACAAAGTTTTTTCATGTATTTTTATATTTCTTTTATTTTTATATTTTTATATGGGAAAGAAACAACTTTTCGTAGAAATGGTATAGAATTCTTGAAAATCAATATTTTTCGATCGGAAAACTCTGGTTCTCTTAAAGCGACTTTCAATAATAATACCCAATTGTTTATTCAATCATTTTTTAATACGAACGATTTTTTAGTGTTCCGCCCATTGCAGTTTTCGGGGGTTTCATGGGTTTTTGGCGGACCTATAAATTATAGTTGCGATGAAAAAATGGTTAAATAAACAATTGAGTATTATTATTGGGAATCTCCGATGGAAAAACATTGATTTTTTAAGAATTATATACCGTTTCTACGAATAGTTGTTTTTTCCCCATATAAAAGACATGGAAAACTTAGGGCGCTTTGAGCGACCTCTAAATATTTTTTGATTTGAAAAAAATAGGGTGAGAGCATAAAAATTCCGACTTTACTTTATCCACATGCATTTTTGGACCACCCTAATGTACCTACACATATCGAGATAAGTATACTCGTACGTATTCACAAGTATTTACATACATATATGTACATATGTATTTAAAAAAGTATCTAGTTCTAAATTTAGATTGACCTTTTTTTTTTTTGCTAAATTATTGCCAGTTAGATAGCATCAGTTGCAAATGGTGCGCATGCGCATTCATTTCCGTATTATACCTGTCACATGTATTGTTGTAGGTGATGTACATACATATGTACTTAAAAAGCGGGGCTATGCAAGACATGGAACACTTAATTAAGAAGGTGCACAATTAATTGAGCCACACAGATGGGCGTGTGGATGGAAACAAAACGTAGATATTCGCACTTACACACAAAGGGTACGTTTGTATGCGGGTATACCTACATATTAAAAAATGTTTGTCGCCAACTTAAAACAATTATGTATAAAACATATTTAATTAAACATTACAAAACATATTCAATGAAGATTTCCCCTCACACAACCCTCATAGCATGAATGCCATTCAATTTTATGGAAATACCAAACGTTTGCGCTATCTGAGGAATGTTTGCGAAGGCATTTTTCTTACATGGCTCTTCATTCATTATTTACTATTTCTGTATTTTAATTAAGGCTTAAGCTTAAGTAATTTTCGCATTTTTGTTGGTATTAACGTTCCTGACGTTGACTTGTTGACTTAGTGTTTGACATGCGCCGCTTCGCACGAGCTACACACACAGGCGCGTCTACGCAAGTATTTTTGGAACCTGTTTGTTCCTACGAGCCCCGAAATGATGATTTTTTAATGGTGATTTCGTTTCTACCAAAAAATGTTGCCTTTTGAATGCTCTTTTCGTGTATGCAATTCTAAATTAAAGCTAAAGGGTGAGAAAATTGTGTGTTCGTTTCTTAAAATGTCACACTCTGGTAAGGCAACATTCTATGCCCAGTGGTTGTTTAAAACGACAATAGCCCTGTTCGCGTACGCACTGTCCAGTAAAAGCCAGTACTTACTTTACTGGATAGCGTTTTCGTACGCAAAAACTTGAAAGAAACTAGCAAAAGAGGGGAAGTTGAGAGAGTAAAAATGACAGCTGAACTCGCAAGTTTTTTTTTTTTACTGGATAAATTTTCACTACTAACTACATATTTGCTAGTAAGAAAAACAGCTGATGGCATGATGCTTAATGCAATTCACATTACCAAAAGAATTGCTTGTGGTGCTTTTAGAGTTGAAATTGACAAAATAAACCCATTTAAATATATAATAAGATGTGAAATACTATTTTTCTTTGAAAATTGCATCGGAAAATAACAAATTAATCAGCTGGTCATAAAACTTGCAACTTCTTGCTGGTTTTGCATTTTCGTACTTTTTTGCACTTTTCTCTCATTGCGAGTAAATATTGGCTTACTCTCCGAAATTTTGCTACTGACAAGTTACTGGATATTTTTTGCTGGAGAATACGAAAACACAACTAATACTATTATTAAGGCAAAGACATGCCTTTTTGCAAGGTTAAGTGTAACATCAAACACATTTTGCACCGGGGAAGGACAACATTTTTTGGAAGAAACTAGATCACTATAAGTTTACTTTACTTTTAATTGTACCGATTAATTTTTCAACAACTAAAACTTAAAAAAAGCGTTGTAAAATGTAGAAATCGTCAGCTAGAAAATCTTTCAAAAACAAAATTGTTTGAAAATGTCTTCAAAATTAAAAAAAAAAAAACAACAAAGGAACCCCTCGATTTTAATAGATATTTTTGAAGACGGCTTTAAATGGCCCTGAATTGTGTCAAAATATTTTGTTGAAAGTCATTAAATGTTACTTTTTGTGACTAACCGACTTTTTTTTTGCATTGAAGCTACCAAGCGCGCATTTTTAAATAACAAAAAATGCGTAGATATTTAAAGCGCAGCCCTAGTGGAAAACCCACGCAAAAATTTAAAAAAAAAAATTAATTTTTATTCAAATGCCAGTGAAAATACAGATTATTGTTTTGGGTTTCTATTAAATAAAATTTAAAAAAATCCTGTTTTGTTGCCTCTCTTCATCTTCAATGCATGTATGTATGTAAAATGTACTTTAAGCAGGTTTCATTGGCTTCAGTAGTTGTTACATATGTGTATACATACATATGTATGTATGTAAGTTTGTATGTATATTTGAGAACATGGTTGCAGCGTGTGCCTCGGGCAATTTTATGAATTTTTTCTTCATTCTTGTTTTCGATAGCTTCTATTTTTCTTATTCCTCTTGGGTGTTATTATATGTATGTATTTCTTTTCCATATTTAATCTTTTATTGCCTAGTTGTTTGCTACCTTTTTGCTGAATATATGATCATTTCTTTTCTTCTTCTTTGTGCCTTGGTGCTTTACACTTGTCTGATCGCATTCTACGAGTATTTTATTTTATTTTTTTTTTGTGGTAGCCACCGCTATCTTTTTAGATGTAGTGACTTTTATAATATTTTCTCCTATTTCTATTATGCACATATCCATTTGTTGGGGCCATTTTATTGTGGTTTTCATAATTGTTATTGTTGTTATTGTCATACGTAGTAGGTTTTACTGACCCATTCCACACTCGCCAATACCATTGGGCAGCTACATAATTAAGGTCGTCACATCACAGCACACTTAGAAAGAGGCTAAGCAGATTGGCCCGATTGTTGCGTTCGTTTACTGACTCTGAGGCAGAGTAATATCCGACTATGTGCTTCTAAAACTCGTTAATTAATGGTGAATATTCTAATCAGGCCATTCATATATTAATAAAAGCATAAGTACGTATGTGTGTAGTTACATAAACCTTTTTCGACTATGCTTTATTTAAAAAAAAAATTTATTTTTAATAACGACTTTAAAGAAACGGAAGCACATTCTCCTACATAAATATGTACATACAATAGCCGGAATGTGTTATATATTTAATTTATTAACGAAGTTCTTAGATTCCAGTGCCCGTCAATACTCTTAATAACAAAAATCATACAAATCCAGGTTTAAAACTTTGTTCAAAATTTAAACAAATTCCCCATACTTCCATCAAAATTTCACTCTTCCTATTCAGAATTTTTAGAAAATTTTGGGGTAGGGTTTTTGCAAATTTGATATTTTGCATTTTTTTTATTGACGGTGTTCCATATAAAAGAAAAAA